ACCACCTTATTTCACTTAGCACAATATCCCCAATCTCCTTAATGTTCTTACATATTACAGGATTTCCTTCTTTTTTAAGGCTGCATAACATTCCTTTGTATGTATGTAGTATATTTTAATTATCCATTAAAGATATCCTTAGTTATCTTTTTTATTATTATGTTTTAGTTTAATTGCATTGAAGACAGAGAGTCTACTCTGTGTGGTTTAATCTTTAACTGTCATTCTTTATTAATCTCACCAGTGGTATATAAATTTAATTGGTATTTTCTTTCCATTATAATTTGTAACTACATAAATAATTCATTGCCATAATAATGTTTCCAACAACCAAACTACAAACTAAAGTGTAATATCACAATGAACTTGTATGGTTCTTTTTGTCTGGGGTCAGTTAGGCAGCTCTGCTGATTTTGGCTGAGTTTTCTCACATGTCTTGGGTTGGTTGGGTATAAGCTGATCTCGGCTACCCTCTTCTCTGCTCCATATTCCTCTAATCCCTTAGCAAGCTATATTGGGCATGTTTCATGGTGATGGTAGAAGTGCAAAAGAACAATTAGAAACATGAAAGACCTCTTCAGATGTAGGCTTTGTATCAATATATGTCATGTGTCCTGAGCAGGGTATATGGCTGAGCCCAGAATCAGAGTAGAGGATGCTACATGGTAAAGGATCTGAATACAAAGAATGTAAAGAATTCACGTCATCATTACAACCCATGTTCACATACACAAAAAAATGTTGCTGATGATTTTTGTCTTGATCTTCCTCCTAACCTTAGGAGACAACTCAAATTTAGCATTAGTTATCTTGTTGGTAAAATAACAATGGGAAAATGGTTATCTGTTTTCCTGGAGGAGGCTCAAACTATAGTCTCATCTCAAGTTAATGATCTAAGAATTACTAATGCTTTGAGCTCAAGTTTATCATACTGTAAAACCTAAAGTCTGTGCTACATCTTAGATGGGAGGAATTTAATTGAAAAATATAAAACAAGCCCTTGTCCTCTTTTATGAGGCTGCCTAAAATTTTTCTTGGTATTATTATGAACTTTATTACTAGTCTCTTGCAATTTTTTTTTCAGTCATTAGGAAAATTTTGAGTTCATTCCATATTTCAGACTTTAGGAGCCTGGTCTATATGGTAAATGTAGTACCATCCACTGGCCAAATAAACATGCAGGATAAACAAATCTACAGGAGAATAACTCCTCCTAAGGATAAAAAATTGTGATAGAAACCATAGTAGAATTACAACTAGGTCATCTTGGGAACATTAATCAGCACAGACTTCATAGAGAAGAAAAACTTTTTTGAGTTAAAACTCAGGAACAACTTGGAGCTGTCTTTATGTTTTGGATATGAGCTATCCCCACAAGCTCATGTGTGAGACAGTGCAAGGATTTTCAGGGGTGAAATGATAGATTATGAGACTTGTAACCTAATCAGTGGATTAATCCGATGAAGGATTAACTGGGTGGTAACTATAAGCAGGGAGGGTGTAGCTGGAGCAGTAGGTCACTGGGGATGTGCCCTTGGGATTCATATTTTGTCCCAGGTGAGCAGAGTTCTCTCTGATTCCTGATTGCCACGTACTGAGCAGCTTTCCTCCTCTACACCCTCTACCATGATGCTCTACCTCACCCAGAGCAATGATGTCAGCCATCTATGGACCAAGATCTCTGAAACTGTGAGCCCCAAATAAACTTTTCCTGTTCTAAAATTGTTATTGTCCATTCTTTTGGTCACAGTGATGCAAAAGCTGACTAAAACAAGCTGTCTGAGTGAGGAAATTGAAACATTTTCTTTCAGTTTATTGAAAAAAAAAGCATGCAGAATAAGGGGGTGTTTGAGACCATGCTTATTAGAGAAAAGTACAAATTCAGAGTTGCTGGAGCATCAAGAGAGACAGTTGCGGGAGACAAAGCAGGACACGAGAGGGAGGCCAGGAGATTTAGGCCTTGCACCACCTCTTAATAGGCCATTCAATTATAAACCCATCAACAGGTTAATGAGATAAAAGCCCCGCTTCTGAACATTTCTACATATCTCTCTGGACCCCTTTCCAAGTTTCTGTGAGGCTATATTCCTAGATTTCTTCTTGCTGGACTTAGAGATACATGTCACCAAACATGGCAGTACCAGTACTTATTATTGTCAGTTTTAAACTGGCCAGTTTGATAGGTCTGAAAGAAGACAGCATTGTTTTAACTTTATTTCTGCAAATCCTTTTGAGGATGAACACTTTTCATATGCTTATTGGCCACTTGTATTTTCAATCTGTTTTCTTCCTTTGTCTGTTTTTTCTGTTTCCTAGAATTTGATCATTGGCATATTATAGGTGTTGCAAATATTTTCTCCACATATCTACTTATTAAAAAAAATTTTAAAGGGTTTCTTCCAACAGAACTTTAGTGTGCTAAATATGTCATTATTATTCTTTTTTGACTTCTGCCTTCCACATTTCTAAGGAAAGCTTTTCCACCCACAAGGTTATGAAATATTCCCCTGTATTTTCTCCTAGTAATTTCAAAGTGGTTTTTAAAAAATGCTTCAAGTTGTAATCTATCTGCAAATGATTTTTGTGTCTAATATGAAATAGAGGTAGAAATTTATTTTTTTCTCATGTTCTTACCCAACACTATTAATTGTATATAGTTTATTCTTTTCTTCATGAATTTTAAATGCCATTGTTAACATTTATCAACATTTCATAACTATCTGGCTCTATTTTTACTTCCATTTTGTTCTATTTCTACTGCAATAGGTCACTGTTTTAATAACTAGTCAGGAGGTATCTGAGCTAGGTATTTGACTTTCCAGCTTAACTAACTTTGTGGTAAATGCACTTCAGATAAGTAGTCTCACTTAGAGAGAAAGCCCCAGAAAACTCTGCCTCCACTCCTACTAGAAATCACTGGTTCATAACTTCTAAGCTACTCAAATAACAATTAAACTTGCAGCTCTGTGGTGTTTTCTGTTGTGTGTTATATAATACCACTGCCTTGACTTTTCCCTGGGATAGCATGTCACATTTGAAGACCTCAGGGTGCATTATGAACATTAACTAATTAAACTTCACAAAACCCAAGAGAGGTTGCAGAAAGAGATTTAGCATCACCTCGCCCAGTTCTGAAATGCAGGCACCTCTGGGGACAAGGGTGGCAGCTGCCTAATAATAAACTGCAACACTTCACGACAGTTTAGTCAAGACAATTAGTCATTGTAGTTGGTAATTGTCTCTTGAGCACTAGGCTGTCAAATAGTTAAGTCATCAGGATCATCAGTTCACTGCCAATGGAATCCATTCTTTAAGATGTTTTTACTTTCTAGTGATTTTATCCTAATTAGAAAAGAAATGTGTGTACAGTATGGGTCCTCATTTCTTTTACTTGTGCTTTTTGTAGTTCTTCAGATTTAAAACTTAAAGGAGGAAGAAAGTATCTCTCTCTCTTTTGTGTGTGGGGGGTGGGGGGGGAGGCAATCCCCGGGATTGGATTCAGGGCACTTGACCACTGAACTACATCCCCAGCCCTATTTTGTATTTTATTTAGAGTCAGGGTCTCAGTGAGTTGTTTAGCACCTCACTGTTGCTAAGGCTGACTTTGAACTTGCAATCCTCCTGTCTCAGCCTCCAGAGCAGCTGGGATTACAGAGAAGTATCTCTTTTTTTTGCAAAGGTACCACTTTAAAATAAAGAGTTATTGATATGAGTGGGTTTTTTTTTCATTCCAAAATTTGCAACTAAGCAAAACTAATTGATGGTAAAAGTTTGAATAGTTGTATTGATTAGTCAGGGAGAAGGGAAGCTTCTGCATGCTGTAAATCCTTCATTCACTTGTGTAGTTGTTACATAAGAGTGATATACATAGGAAAAATATGAACTCATATTTCTGTATGCATTTGCTCACAACAATAAAGTAAATCTATTTCAATTCCCTGTATCTTTGTAAGAAATAGGTAAGAAACATTTGTGATACAGTAATTTGGGTTGAGACGTGTCTGTAGGGGCTGTTGCCTTGGTGGGCATTGCAAGAAAACCAAGGAAGAAGAGGAAGCAGAGTGGACACTGAGCTGCCTCTGGCCTTGCAGTGTCTGATGGGTGGTTAAAAACACAAAGAGTAGCCACAGTGTCTCTGGAGGCCTCTAGAGGGTTCAGGTCCTCTGGTGCATCTGGCTAGAGCATCCTGGGACTGCTCTTAGATAAGGCCCAAAGGCTGAGAGCAGATGTCATGGTTAAGAATCCCCTAGCAGAGTAGGCCCTGGGTGAGACAAAAGAAGTGCAGGCATTCCTGTGATGATGATGTCTCCCAAATTGTTCCCTTTCAGTCACAGAAAATGGAAAGGGGAGCACTTTCTATAGAAAATGGGAATTTTTTGCTCATTGTAATTTTTAAGGAAGATTAAATATTCTGATTATTGATGTTTTAGACATATTAAAATAACATTCAACTCAACTCTTGCAAGATAGAAAAGTGAATTTCATGGCTATTGGTAAACCCCAATTTCACAGTATTTCCAAACAAAGACAAAGCAGCTCTTGTGTTAATCCTTGGCAGTCTATTAGCACTGATATTGCTGATTGTGGTCTTTTCCACCTTCTGTCTTAAGATCCTTTTAAATTCTGTCATAATCAGTTGTTTGTAAACTTCAAGGGGGATACCAGCAAAGGATCTCATTGTCCAGGGACTGGCAAATATTGGGGCCTTCTGTGTACCACGCTCAGGCCCAAGACCATCATGCATAACAGTTCATCTTCATAGCTCTCCTGGGGAAGGATCAGAGAAGTTGAGGAGGAACTTTTCCTGGACCTCTGTGTCAGAGTCAGGATTGAAGTGGGCTGGAAAGAACCTGTTATTTTCACCTCCAGTTGCTGCCTTCTGAAATTTAAGTTTTCAGATAATCATAGTTTAAAATACATGATCATGCTGCCCAATTTCCTGTGGTTTCATAGATATTTATCATCTATTTTCTGTTCTTATTCTATTCTTTCTCCCAAAGATGCTGAGCTCATGAGTAACAGGCTAGGAGTCCAGAGAATTTCTGGGGAGCCAGAGGAACCTCTATATACAGAGGCCATGGAGAACATCCAGGTAAGGGAGACCATTTTCCCATTTCTGGGGCCTGGAGATGGGCCTGGGGCTACTTGTGGCATTGGGAGCATCTCTGGTGCTGGGGTCATTACCCAAAAGTTGTAGCACATGGTACAGAAAGGCCCTACTAGCTAAGGCTGAAGAGACCACACACATTTATAGTGGGCAAATCAAAGCTTCACTGATAAAGTGCAGAACACATGTCAGAACAAGATTTTAATCATTCCCCACCTTCATTCCTACCCATTCCCTGTCTTGAGGAGGAGGAGGCAAATAAAGTTGTTATTGGAAGCTCATTAGGAAATGTGGACTTTCTAAAGAGACTCACACACTTTCTGCATATTCAAATATGGCAGCATGTTTCTTCCTGTTCTGATTGGGCCTTATAAACTACAGAAACATCTGCCACAGCTCCCTGGATAGATGCCAGGTTTACTGCTCTTGCCTGGTCTCAGGAGTAACCCTTCTTGGTCCCTCCCCTCCTGCTATATCAGCATGACTTTAATAGAGCTCTGTGTGTGCTGCTGCCACCTATCATGACCTAATAAGGGAGATAACCCATACCTAGGGCCTGAGTGTGGTACACAGGATGCCCCAAGATTTGGTGGGAGGACTCCAGAATTCGTCCATCTTTCCATCTCTGCTAACCTCTGACAGCTAATGACTTCATGTAATTAAAAATGATCACATTTTCTGGGTTCTGGGTCCTGTATGGGTTCAGTGTATGTCCCTTATATTCTTAGGAACAAGGCCACTCAGGTCTCTTCCTGAGTCTTAGCACTACTTCGCCTGGATTGTCCTCTCTGATTTTCATGTTGACCTTATGGAAAAATACATGCTGATCTCCCAAACTACAAACAAACTCAGCCTGTAGCTGGTTGGGTGTCGTATTTCAAATACTGATTTATTTTCTGCATGGAGATCAGAGGCCCACACAAGTGCTGAGGGTACTACAAAACCAGTCTGAAACTAGTTGTAGCATGATGGGAATAGAAGAGGGGAAGCATCCCAGAAGAGGGGGCTAAGAGGGGACCAGAACCCTTTAAAGATTATATGGCATGGGTGATTTTATTTTTCAGGTTTTTTTTTAATTTGATTATATGGCATGGGTGATTTTATTTTTCAGGGTTTTTTTTTTATTTGCATGGATGATTGAAGGAAATGAACCTACTAATGGAATTTAAAGCAAGGAAGGGAGGGGGGGTACATAGAACTTGTACTTCTAGCCAAGATGGAGGAACAGAGGCTGGATTTATTATCCTGCCTGAAACAACCAAAAATGGATAGTTAATGAAACAACAGTTTTCAAAATACTGCTCTCACTGTAACAAAGAACAGTGATGCCTGAGTGTGGTGAAAAATAAGTCAAGTGAATCCCATGATCGCCCCAGCTTACTGCCTTGAGAGAATTTCCAGGCCATCTCACAGGATAGGAGAAACAATCAAACTTCCTGAAATGAAGAGACAGAACTATAAGTTCATGGAGACTAAATTCACTGAAGAGTGAAAGAGTAGCAGAGAGGAGAGAGATACAGAGAGAGCATACCATCTATCAGCAAGCATCATTTTTGAATATTCAGCTGGGTAACAATCAGAGGAGTACTACTAGGGAAGAAACTACTAAGTCAGTTTGAGGAAAGAAACTTCCCAGAGGATTAGTGTTAATAGTACTCAGCGCTACTATAAGACTGGGAATATAGTTCTTGTCTTTACCAGCCAGACTGGAAAACCTTATGATTCATAAGGCACTGGGAAAATGGCACAGAAGCATATTGCCTCAGTAATGGGGAATAAAGCACTGATCCAGACCTGTGCAATATATCTTTAGAGCAAAAACTAAAAGGATGAGACTCTTCATGTAACTTAACTGATCCCAGACGAAATTCAAGAACATTATCCTGCACCCAACTAAGTGAAATTCACAGTGTTCAGAATCCAATAAAAAAATACCATGCACTCAAAAAAAAAAAAAAAAAAGAAAGAAAAAGAAACTGGGAATATATGGTGCATAAAGTGGAGATAAATTCATCAATTGAAACTGCCCAGATCTGAAACAGATGTTAGAATTAGTGGAGAAAACCAAAAAGACAGTAATTATAACTTTATTTCATACTGCCAGAGGTTAAAGACAGACATATAAAAGGTAAAAATTCTCCAGATCAAACTTCTAGAAACAAAACCACAAAGTATAATCTGAAAAATACACCTGAAGAAATAAAATTAGACATTGTAGAGGAAAAGGTTAGTGAACTTGAGAAAGTTTTTTTGTTGTTGTTTGTTTGTTTTTTGTTTTGTTTTTAAAGATCAGTGTATCTGAGATTTGGTATAACTTTGAGGACTTAAAATTTGTGAAATTGCAATCTTATAGAAGAGAGAAGTTGAGGTAGGAAAAATATTTGAAAAAATAATGAACCAAAAATCCTTAAATTTGATGGAAAACAAAACCACTCATAGATACAAGAAGTTCCAGAAACAACAAGCACCAGAAACACAAAATTGTACCAGAGCCAACCTTGATCAAATAATGAAATACCAGTGATAAAGAGAAAATCTTAAAAGCATCAGGGGTTGGGCATGAAGGAACAAGTTTGGAACAGGGACAAAGGTAAGAATGACAACAGAGTTCTTGTTGAAAACAATGCAAGGAGACAGTGGAGTCTTCTTTTCCTTCTCCTCCGTATATCAATGCTCAGGATCAAACCCAGGGCATTGCACATGCTGGGCACAAACTCTACCACTGAGTTACACTCCTAGCCCTGAAGTCACATCTTAAAATAAACTGTCATTTAGAATTTTATACCCAGTAAATACCCTTCATTTGAAAATCAAGGTGAAGGGGGAGTGATGTCAGCAAGATGGTTAACTAGAGGTGCCTGATGCACTTCTTGCTACAAAAAAGGCCAAAACAAAGAAAAAAATAATAGCTATTTCACTGGAATGTTTGAGACAGAGCTTCTGAAGGCAGTGGAAATGGATGTTAGAATTAGTGGACAAAACCAATAAGACATGTCACAGAACATGACCTTCTAAAGAAAGGTAATACACCACAGCAACTGTCATTCTCTTCTCTTGTGATCAACATTGAACCAAGAGGGACTTCTTGTGTCTGAGAAAGTAAGTACAATGCCATGGGCAGTGGAAGTATTCCTGATAGTTCTATGCAGCCCTCATAGGGCCTGAGCCCTGTATGGGGAGTTACTGAGTTACCCGACATTGCATTGTCATAGAAAAACATCCCAGCCCTTGTTGTGCCCTCCTCCACCCAGATTACTGCTACAAAGTGCCATTTTGAGAACCTACCCATTGGGGTCCTTCAAAGCAGCTGAGCACCCACTTCATTTGGCTTATCTGACCTATCCCTGTGAACTAGCCCACCTCCTGATGAACCTTCCTGCTTCCCATGACCTGAGGAAGCAGCCGGGCAGCTACCCTAAATGGCTCAGCCCACTGAGGCACCTAGAAAGTAGATGGTGGCTCTACTCACCTTCCCATGGCTTTAGAAAGCAGCTGGACAGCCTTCCCTGAATGACTAGGTCCACCGAGTGCCCCAGAAAGCAGCCAGGCAACCTCTCCTATCCTCCCTGTGGCCTGAGAAGCATCCAAGCAGCTAATCTGAATGCCTCGGCATACTGGGCCTCTCAGGAAGCAAATAGGCAACCCTGCCCAGCCATGAGAAGCAGCTGGGCAGTTTTCCCTGAGTTAGTTTGTCCAGCAAGGTGCCACAAATTCACTTGCACAGCCCTTAAACAGTGGTGAAGGTCTTTTTCAGGCCCACTAGTGCAGCCTGGCCCCTTAAAGCTGATGGAAACGGAAAGGCACCCTGCCTCCAGTGTTATACCAGCCACATCTAACCTACACAGCCTGCAAGAGCAGCCCCATCCTCACACAACCTGTGAAAGGTGATAGGCATCCCACACCCCCTCTCGTGTATGCCACACTCAGGGCCACTGGCAAACTCACTCCACTCATGAGAGCTGCATAACAACTGGCTGAGCTCTCCCCGAAATAAAGCTGAAATAAAGATTTGTGCCTATGCACAAAATGTGGAAGGATTCATCACCAACAGACCCACATTATAAAATATATTAAAGGAAATCCTTCAGGCAGAAGGACAATGATACCCAAATGGAAATCTGCATCTGAACAGAGATGAAGAACATTGAAAATGATAAAATGAATAAATACACAAGATTTTATTTTTAATATTTATATATCTTTAAAGGATCATTGACTTTTTAAACAAAATATAGTGAGCAATATAGTGTGTGGTTTATCACATATATAAAGAAAAAGTATGACATTAATAATAACAAAAATCAAAAGGGGAGAAATGTAAGTTTTAAGGTTTTTATACTATATCTCAAGTGGTATAATGTTACCTTAGATAGTCTGGGATAGGTTAAAAATGTATACTGTAAACCACAACAAAAACTCACTGATGTTATCTATCAAATTCAGAGAGTCATACTTAATAAGCCTAGAAAAGATAAAATGGTATCATAAAGATGTAAAATCAATCCAAAATAAAGCACAAAGTAAAGGAAAAAAAAGAATAGATGGGACATATAGAAAACAAAAGGCAAGATGACAGACTTAACGCCCCCCTACCATATCAACAATCACATTACATGTACATGGTCTAAATATCCCCACAAAGAACACAGAAAGCAGATATAGATCAGATAAAAGGTAAGACTCCTTTCTATGTTGTTGACTACCAAAATGTCTTTAAGCATAAAGACATAATAGGTTATAATTAAAAGGATAAAATGATGTACCGAGCTAACAACTCACCAAAAGAAAGCTGGAGTGGTTTTATTAATCTCAAATAGAGTGTTTTTCAGAATAGAGACTAATTGCCAGAGAAATGACAAAGCCAAGAGGACAAAACACTCCTGTGTATGAATACTTTTAACAAGAGAACTCAAAGCCCCTGAAGGAAAAAGTGGTAGGACTGCAAAGACAAATGCATAAATAATAATAGACAGAGATTGTAGTATTCTTCTTTTAATGATTGATAGAACAACTAAGACAAACATTTAGGATATAGAAGATTTTATTTTAAGAACACTGTTGACCAAACTTGACCAAATTGATATTTAATTGTATATTTCCTTCAGCAGTGGCAGAATACATTTTATTCTTCTCAAGTGCATATATAACTTTTAAGGTAGACAGTATTCTGGTCTATAAAACAAGTCTCAAATTCGAAAGGATTCGAGTCATCTAAAGTATATTACCTTGCAAGAAAGACATTACAAAAAATAAAACTACAGATCAGTATTTCTCATGAACATTGATCGAAAAATTCTAGTAAAAATTTTAGCCAACTTAATCAATATATAAAAAGGAATGGAAGGTTGGCTACACATAAGAAAATCAATGAAATTAAACATATTAATAAAGCTAAAAAAGAAACACACATTTTTTTCTCAGAAAAAGCATTTGAAAGTTCTACATCCATTCCTTAAAAAACTCTTAGAAAATTAGGAATAGAAGAGAACTTAATTTGATGAAATTTGTTTTTATAAAAGCCTAGCGCTAACTTCATACTTGATGGTATGACTTTTATCCTAACATCCAGAACAAGACAAGAATATATACTCTCACTACTTGTAATTGTATGGTGATTTGAGCCATTGCAAAAAGACGTGAGAAGAAATAAAAGGCATTCAGCTTGGACAGAGAGAATTAAAACTTTTATTTCACAGATTATAACATAAACATCTAGAAAATCTACAAAACAGCTACTAGCACTAACATGTATTTAGCAAGTTTACTAAATATATGTAAAATCAATATGCAAGATTCAATCGTGTCTCTATCATAGCAATGAACAAATAGAAATAGAAATAAATACCATTTGCAATAGTACAAATATGGAATATACTTAGGTATAAATTTGTTGAAAGATGTTCAAGACCTGCACACTGAAAACTACAAAATATTTCTGAGAGAAATTAAAGAAGAAATAAAATAAGCAAGGATATATCCTATGCGCATGGGTTGAAAGACTTAATATTGTAAAGATATCAGTTCCTAAATTTGATTTATAGACTCAGTAAAAGCCCAACAAAATTTCAGCAGGAATTTCTTTTTTAAATTAAAAATTTAACTGCAGAATTCATATGTAAATAGAAAAGATCCATAATAACCAAACAACTTAGAAGATTAACAGAATTGTAGGACTAATACTAACTGATTTCAAGACTTACTATGAACTTCTAGTAATGAAAATAGTTTAATACTGGTGTCAAAGTCAACAAACAGATTAATAGAATAGGAAAAAAACACTCATAAATATATATAAATATATGTAACATTTAAGTACAACTAATTATATGATAAAGGTACTTGGCAGTATAGTAAAGAGAGTCTTTTCAATAAATGGAGCTGAAACAATTCAATATCTATATACAACAATTTAAAAATTTAATTCATGTTTCACACCATATACCAAAAGTAACTACAAATGGACCATGGATCTTAATATAAAACCCAAACCTACAGAAGAAAATATAACATGGGAGAAAACCTTTGTGACCTTGGGTTAGGTAAAGTTACCTTAGATACAATATCAGAAGCACAATGCATATAAGAACAAATCAATAAATTAGATGTCATCAAAATGTAAAACTTATTGAAAGAGATTTTAAGAGAATGAAAAATAGAAGCCTCAGACTGGGAGGAAATATTTACAAATCATATATTTCACCAAGGTATGTTTCTATAAGTTATTTTTTAAGCTCTCAAAACACAATAATATAAAATAAACACCCTTTTTATTTAAAAATGGGCAAGAAATTGGAACAAACACTTTCCAGACGAAGACATATGATGTGAAATGACATTAGTCATTAGGAAATACAAGTGAACACCACAATCAGACATAACTGGACATCTGTTCGAATGACCAAAATAAAAAAAGATTAAGCATTCCAAGAGTGGTGGGAAGTGGAGGAAGTGTAGTACATCTGCATCCATGAAATAGTACTCAGCAACAAGAAGGAACACACTATGGATACTTAAAAATATTGACAAATTTCAAAATAAATATGCTGAAAGAAGTAGAAGTCAGACCTCTTGTCAAAAAAAAAATTAAAAGATACCATAAAATTTCAGGAAATACAAACTAATCTATAGGACAAAGATCCATGTTGGCCTGTTGTCATCAAGGTCACAAGAGATGGTAGCAAGAGGCATAGAGAAATATTGTAGCCTATTCCAGTGACTTGGGACGCTGAGATAGGAGGATTGTAAGTTCAAAGCTAGCTTCAGCAACTTAGAAAGGCCTAAGCAACTTAGTGAGATGCTATCTTAAAATAAAAAGGATTGGGGATATTGCTCAGTGGTAAAGTGCCCTTGGATTTAATTCCCAGTACTAAAAAAGAAAAAAAAAAGAAAGAAAGAAAGAAAGAAAAAGAAACATCGAAGATTGGACAGTGTTGTATTATGCGTTTGGTATTTTGATTGGGGTGATATTTTTGCAGGTGCATACAAAATGCAAAACTTCTCGCTTTAAATATGTGCAGTTTATTTTATGTCATTTATACATTTATACATAAAATTGGTTTTAAAAGAAAAGAACTTAGTGCAGTTTTCAAGTTATATGTAAAAATAAGAATAATGGAGTTATAATTAACATGTACAGAGAATTAGGAGGTACTCTCATTGTCTGTCCATCCATCTACCATCTATCATTTTTCTATCAAGCATTCAATATTTTTATCTCTATAAGTCCCTCTTTCCCTCTTGCTCTCTTTTTATTTTATCCTCCTAATAACCTTATAAAAAATGCTGTTTTGCCCCCCTTTTACATATGAGGAAACTGAGGGTCCATAACTTTCCCAGTGCCTCCTACCTAGCCAATAAGCAATGAAGCCAGGGTCTGAACATTGGCAGCTTGCTCAAAAGCTTCAGCTCTGAACCACTATAGATGTAATTAACCCTTGTGTTTTATCATTGTCATTTGCAGGAAAAAGTCCTTGAAGAAGCTGCATCTGGGGAACCTGTATTATCAATCCAAAGTGGAATTAGTGAAACTCAGGTGGGGTTTGAGCAGGGCCTTTGTGTGCATAATAACTGACTTGCATGAAGCACCACCTCTCCCACCAGTCTTTATGTGCTGGTTACTCTCCCAGACTTCCCACCTCTCTCTCCTAGTTCATATCTACCATGGTCTTGCTCCTGTTCTACAAAGCCTCCCCTGGTTAACTCTGACCCTGCAGTGATTAATCCCTTGTCTTGTATCCCCTGCATAATTCAGACCATAAGTAACATTTTTATTCATCACTTGCAACCATTTCAGTCAATGCAGATAACTTTCTCCCTCTCATTGCCAAAAGAGAAAACATTTTGAAGAACAAAAGAATTGTAAAAGTTTTCTAAGACTATATATATGATCTGAGCATGCACACACTTTAGAACATACTTGTAATGTATTATGTATCATTCACAAGAATCTCAGGTTCCAGTAACTGCCCCTTCCTATTACAGGTTTAGGCCAAAGGGTGGTAGCATCTTCCTCCAGTGGCTATCCCTGGGGTATTTCACCCTCTTTCCTTAACTTCCCTTCACCCTATACACATTTTTGCACATGGTCCTCTAGCTACTCCATGTCCTGTCTGTTTTCTGCCAGGAAACTGAGGATTCAGGAGATTGGCAGGGTTCTGTGGACCCAGCTCAGGATTTTGACCTTCTCCTAGGGAGCTGAGGAGGGTGTTGTAGGTTTTTGAGTAGGAGCTCGACATGCCTGAACATTTCACTTTCCAGTGTTGAGCACAGTGCAATTTTCAACAGTTTCTCAGGACACCCCATTGATAGGCGGACGAACTCTGCATGGGTCAGCCAGAGAAGAAGAAAGCTGGGTAGGGGGGTTCATCAGATCCATGGTAGCACTGGGACTCATGCACTGAACATTGATCCCACACATCAGTACTCTGTCAGAGGGCCTGGCACATACAGTCTCCTCTCCAGATTCTGATCAATTAAGGAGTCCACACACAAGTCATCTAGGGGTAGAAGTACCATATCTTTTGGCTACCACCAAACTGGAGAACAAAGCTTGGATCTGAAACACAAATGGGATTCCCATTTCTAGTTAGGACAGGTGTCTGTCCCCTCCCAGGATATCTGAGGGAGGAGAGGAGCGCACATGAAGTCTGAGACCAGGATATGTCGCCAGAAAGAGATTGGGCTGTTCAGGGGCCTGTTTTCTGCAGCTCAGTTTAGTGTATACCACCTGGCCCCACCCATAGCCCTAGGTAATAATCACTCCTCAGCACTCTGAGGAAAACTGAAAATACCTGGTGCTTTGTTGGTACTGTGCTTGCAGCAGTTCAGTTACTTTGGGGGTTAGCCATCAGTCAATAATCAAAGGAGTTGGAAAATCAACACCCCAACTCCTTTGTCTCTGAGATGCAACAGTTGTCAATTGTGTTCTCCATAGTCTCCCAGAGATCTCTGTGAGACCGAGTTAACAATGGAAACCATTCCTTAAATCCCTGGGATCTTGGAGAGAAAATTGCCATCTCTGCTGCATCCCCATTTTCCCCTCCCGAGGGCACAAGGAATGACCTACTCACCAGTGGGTCTCCTCGTGTAGGTTCCTCCAGTGGTGAACCTTGAGCTAAGAGCCAAGGTTCAGCAGCTTGCTTAGGAAGCCATGCCATGAAATTATACAAGGAGAATGGGGAAATGAGGCAAGAAGAGAAGACTCTTAGTTCAGAGTTTCTCTTTGGAGGAACCCACAGTGAGAGACTCACTGAACAGTAAGTCACTCCTTATACCCTGGAGAGGAAAGAGAGGAGGTGCAGTGGAGAATGGCAGTTTTATCTCCAAGATTCCTAAGAGGGAGGCCATTATTTTGTGGACCCAAACAAGGATAGAGAGGGAGGGTTGGGCTGGTCCCCTCTCTCTGCATCAAACACAGAGGGCATCTGTAACCAGGTGGATTGACCTCCCATATTTAGCTACTGCCTCTTCTGTGGGGAAAAAACTCTCACCTAAACCAACCAGAAAAAGGATAGAAAGCATATATCCACAAAGCAACAAGTCAGGGAGGAGTTATTGAAAAATAGGCACTTTAAAATATTTAGAATTAATAAAATTGACGGAGCTGACCTTGGCTTAGCCCTTCTGAGGAAGGTAAAACTTTAGTCCTTCTGAGAGGAGAATTTGGTGAAAAGTGGGGCTAAGGACTTGGAGGTTCTGCTGCAGGCGGAGTAAAGAATGAGGCTGAATATGAGGGTTCTGTTTAGCAGACTGATAAGGAGTAACTGAAACCCCAGGTTCTCTGTATCCTCCACTTAGCTCATCAACAAGACCCCAAGGGAAACAAAGTGAGAATTCTCTGGAAAAACTGAATAGACACAGCTCTATATTCAGGTCCAGCCTACACTGTATGAGGCTGGGTAATGGTCTAGGACAGAAAATAGAGGAATAAGTGAAATTCTCCATTTCAAATACAGGAACCCCCAGGCCCTCCTCCAGGCACATTCTTTGAATGCAAGAAGCCTATTGTTGGTATGAGTTTTCTGTTGCTGCTGTAACAAATTATCATAACCTCGGTAGCATAAAATAACACCAATCTATTATCTTATAGTACAGGAAGTCAGAGGTCCAAAATGGATCTACTGTACTAAAATCTAAGTGCATATAGAGCATATTTGTTCTGGAAGATCCAGGAAAGAATCTGTCCTCTGGCCTTTGATAATTTCTAAAAGGAACTTGCATTCCTATGACCCCTTCCCCCATCTCCAGAGCTATCAGCAGAGAATCTCTTGTCCTTTCTCTGACTCTGACTCTCCTACCTCCCTATTATAAGGGTAATTGAGGATGATCTCCTCATTTTAAATCCTTAGTTAAATGGCATCTCCAGTCCCTTTGCCCAGTAAGATAACATACTCATAGGTTCTGGAGATTAGGACATACACACCTTTGAGGGCCACCGTTCTCCCTTCCACAGTCCCTTAGGCAGGAGATTAGAGAATGTAATTCCCTGCAAAAATGGACAGGCCCAAAGAAAATAAAAGGCTTCCAGATAATGTCACGGAGGTGCCTCCCCACAGACCTGCCAAATATTTGCCTCCCAAGCATTGTTGTTTTTATAAAGCTAGAATGGTGCTTCAGTGATAAAGGGGCTAAACCATGAACAAAGAAGATGAGGAAAAGAGATGGAGCTTAAAAAACAGCAACTGCCTTAGACCAAATAAATAAATAATAAATAAAAAGATGATTTAGTGGCTCCTCCAATGAGAGCATTTTTTGGAAGGGTTGAAAGAAAGAAATTTAGTAAATATGATATAGTATAGGTATGATCACTAAGAAATAAATTATAAAGATTCAATTAATAAAAGGCAGCTCTACATGGAGGCAAAAAGAAAAAAAGAAAACAGCAACTGTAAAACACGAACAAAAACAAAAACAAAGCAAAAAAGGAAAGAAAAGATGCAAGTAGCATTGTAGGCCAGTAGAGCAATAGGTCCAGATTAGAGGAGGGGAAGAAAAAAGAAAAAGTTCATAGAATATTTCAACTTCAACTTCCTGATTGCTTGGAAACTCATATTTACCAATACTTGACAAATCTGGTAATGCATATGAAAAAAAAAATCAGAAAACCAAGCAACTAAAAGCAAAGGACACAAATGAGAATGTAGTCAAATTATACTTCTCTGTTCAGGGATAGCAACAAAGCTTGCATATTCATAATAATGCAAAGACTTATTGGGTTAACTGTGAATTGTGATGTAATTATACTGGGAAGATAGAGTTTAGGGTAGAGGGTTACACAGAAAGGTTAGATCAATTTACTACATTAATATCCAATAGAAAATTTCAAAATCTGATGAATTAAGAAATAGTATATAAGCATTTTATTTAGAAATAAATAAATAAATATGAAAACGTTGAAAGTGCTAGTTAATGGGGAAGGTGAATTATGGGGATAAAAGACTAATGATTTTTAATTACAAAATTTTAGTGTTAATTTGATTTTAATTTTGACTACATGCATGGATTTCTTTGATTTAAAAGAACTTCAGAAGGACCTCAGAATGAATTGTTTCCTCTGGGTTGCAACACCTCAGCTGCTTCTAAAATCAGACTGGACATACTAAGTGCTAACTTTCTAGGTGGCTATAGTGCTGGACCTTCCTGTCTGCCTTAGGAACAGTAGATAAGATAGAGAATAAGTTGCAGGAAGTGAACAGGATTATTATTGGTTCTTCCTTTCTCCTTGGTCTAGGAGGTAGAAAAACTCAGCAGGAGTTCCATTGTTGATGAAGAGGAGCAATATATCAGCAGTGAGAGCTCCACATCCATCCCACTGCATGAGGAGCCCAGTTACTTCCGCCCTGTCTACAAGGGAGAGTCAGATGCTTTTTGTATTCAGCTATTTTGTATTGATGAGAAATATGAAGCAAGGTAAGTACTGAACTTCCGGTTGTTTGTTACAGTAAGAACTTATGACATTTTAATCTTTTGGAGCCAGTGATTTCCAAAGCTGGCCCCACATCCCGATCTCCTGGGGAATTAAAAGCAAAAAAACAAAAACAAAACAAAACAAAAAACTGATTCCTGGACCCCTTCCAAAGACTGTTGTTCATAAAATTTGTGTTAAGGCTTACAGATCTGGGCAAGAAAATTGATCAGGTCTGGCCTCCCTATATTATAGTAGGGGACCAGGAAAGTTATCACCACCTTGTAACCACATGCTCCTCCCATTCTTTAAAGTTTGCATTTCTGGGAGATTATGGATTTTAACTGCTGCTTGTCTGGAGTCTTTTGGTTACAAGTAACAGAAAATCCAATTCAAACTGGGTTTGGGGGAAAATAATGGAATAATTGCCTCACATAACTAAGGATAAGTCCAGTGGTAGGTAGAACCATTTTTAACTAGGGCTGGGGCTAACTTTCTCTCTCTACCTCTTTTCCCTGGTTGCCTGTTGTTGGCTCCAGAGGAGTATTTCCAACCTAGGGTCAAGAGAGCTGATAGTCTTGGGTCTACATAAATATCCAGTGAGCTGGAGGCATTCTGGCTTGGGCTCAGCTCTCTAGCCAAAGTTCCATGGGAACCAATTGCACTGTGTGCTAATTCCTGAACCTATGACTGTGACCAGATCATGCCTCAAATTGGGCTTGCCTCATGCTCAGTCTGGGGTTAGAGACTCACCCAAACCTGAGATCTGGGAGTGGGATAAGATAAGCAGAGCAGCCAGTAATCCAAGGAAGGTACTGAAAGGAGAGCATGGTACCAGGCAGACGGAGCCCAGGTGTCGTCCCCCATGTGGTCCCCTCAATTCTTGCCCCTTCGGAGCCCTACACCCCCAGTGCTTGCTATACCCGGTCATTTGGGTATGAACCATTGCCCTCAATGCCCAAATTCCACATCTCCTTTAGCACATTGCCTATTTTACCATGTATCCACAGAACAATCTTGAAGAGGCCCACTTTGATAGAGCAGAGGGTTCTGGAGTATCTTTTGGATGACCAAGAACAATGCTAGCCATTTCTTTTTAAAGGGTGTATTTAAATGTTTTCCCAGTTTTCCGGCTTCCACCAGAACCATATTTTACCTTTTTTTCCACTTAAATTTTCAGCTTTCATGGAGGTCGCATAATATGCAAAAGGAAATTTTTTTATTCTAATTATGTTGTAGATACTCTAAAAAGCCTATAAAGTCCTTTGAGATTTGTTGTTTTATGTTTGTTTTTCCTCTGTGCAATTAGTTATGATTGTGCCTAGTTGTAATTTTTGGATTTTTAAACATTGTAAATCCATTTTTAATGGATTTTAAACTCATTATAGGTTGCCTGTGAATATACATATTCAGATGGTCAGAAAATATTTTATATATAAGATTAAAAAATCAGAATAATCTATAACATACTAATCTCTCTCCCCAGCTCTTCCAAAAAGAAAGTGAAGGATCATGTTCATAGAATAATTATCTTCATACTGGTTTTTCAGATGAGCAGAGATTATTAATTGCTATTAATCTTCAGATCTTCAGATTTAAAAAAATACTTGGTTACTGACATATGAAGCTCATGACTTTGGTGACTGACTAATGTTCAGCCAACTAATTGCTACCTGAGGAGGAAAGAGCCATAAATCTCTTTAAACAGCCTGTGATTTTACATTTGCTTGCAGTCCAGTGACAATGCATATTTTCTTGTTTACAGGTCGTTGGATTTTATGAATTTTGTTTTCAGTCTTTTTCCTGTAAGTACATGATGAATTTTGAGTAATATAATTGGCTTTGTAGTTTAAGCAGTTATAGAAAAATAAAACTTATGTTTATTGTGCAGGCATCTAAAATGCTATGAATGTTGAGGTATAAACTGCATCTGTATCCTGAGAATAAGGTCAACGGCACTCCTAAGAATAGAAAATATTGTCCTTTTCAATTTGTTCTTTGGTCATGCCATTTTAACAGTCTTCTTCCAATGTATAATTTCTTTAAAAGATAGTTTTACCAGTGCTTTATTAGAGTCAAATCATTCGTAGTAGCACATGAAAATGTCAAAAATTTCACTGTTGTATCACTTTATAGCTGACATTGGCATAAAGTATTCTAAAATCATCATATTCCTTTTCAGTGGATAGAAAAGTGGAAACTTGTGATTGATTTTCAGATTGGCCTTCCTTTCCCTACGGGTTCCTTGTCCTGAGCCAGAGCCTGACATGTAGAAGGGGCTCAACCCACATTGGTGAATGTAACTCATGGCCAACATTCGGGAGCCGCTTCCTCCATTCTTGTTTCATTGTTGTCCAAGCAACATTTTATTGAAGGGAAGAAAGTGAAGAAGGAAGACAGACTTTTCCCATAGCTGGCCCAACAGGAAAGTCAACGAGTATATTCTTCAATTGGCTAATTTCAAGCAAAATATCTATTGTTTTATTTTTCCTTGCTATTCTTTATACGGAAGCAAAAATAAACATGGTTTATTTATGTTGCCTACACACCATATGATCTTAGGTTTTATTTTCTCATTTCTTAAATATGATGAAACCTTATAATAAGGCAATATATCTTCCACTGTAATTTCTTTGAATTATTTTTAAGGCATTTTTAAAGCTCATAAAAACATGTAGATTGTTCCAAAAATAAAATTTACAAAACCAGTTTCCTTCAAAGATGCCTCAAGGAAATCTCACTAAGTTTAATCCCCATTTTAAAGTTCATGTGAAGGCAAATCTTCAGCATTAGACAAGTAATGCTGTGTTTTAAAAAGGTAGGGATATCTGTTTATTTTTAAATGCTATTTGATTTTGGAATATGAGAAACAGGACGATTACTTCAGCCATAATCTTACAAATCCAAGTCAAAGCAACTCATTAGAGTCAGTCTCCCACTCCTAGTAAATCCACTGAGGCTTGGCATCCAGTCCCTATTTTCAAATTGAGTATTTCAGCAACTCAACTCTGAAGTTTCCCAAAAGGAGTTGTGTTATTTTGCTAGAAAGAAGAAAGATAAGGTCAAATAATGATTCACTCCTTTGGGTTGCAACAAATGTCCAGAGGGTTTTGGATTAGCACAAGTAATGCCTTCACAGGGTTCAAGGGGAGGCGAGATCCCAAAGGGACAAATTAGCTCTGGGAAGAGCAGGTTGCTTCTGCAGGGACCTGGCAGAGGATCAAGTGGCTGCCAGAAACACAGGCAGCCTCAAGCAGCACCATTCATAGACACTGAGTGTGAATCATATCAGTGATTCTGAATGTTCCAGTGGCCACTTGAACAAAAAGTGAAAAGGAATAGACGAAACCCATGTTAATAACACTTTTCATCTAATTCAGTATGATCCATATTTAATCATTTCAGCATGTAATCAATATGAAAGTTTATTAGTAAGCTATTTTACATTCCTTTTCTCATAATAAGTCTTTGAAATCCACTGTGTATTTTATATTACAGTACATCTCAATACAGGTAATATGTTTCATCAGAAATACTTGATCTGTATTTAGATCTCATAAGGCTTATAGATGGATGGTGTTTTAGTCAGCTTTGTGTCACTGTGACCAAAATTCCTGACAAGAACAACTTAGAGGAGGAGAGGTTTATTTTGGCTCACAGTTTCAGAGGTTCAGTCCATAGATGGCAGATTCTTTGGCTCTGGGCCCAAGATAAGGTGTAATATTCTGGGAGAAGGGCCCAGCAGAGGAAAGCTATTCAGTGCTCATGACAAAAAGAAATTAGGGAGGAGGAGGGAGGAAGAGAAGAGGGCACTTCAGGAAGAACAATTCTTCTAGGGTACAACCCTGGTGACCCACCTTCTCTACCTATACCCCATCTGCGTACAGTCACCTCCTAGTCCATTCAAACTAGCATGGGCTGATTGGGTTACAGTTGTCAAAATCCAATCATTTAACATCTGAATATTCCTGCACTAACAGAAGCCTTTAGGGGCCACCTCAAATCCCAACCAGAATAGATGAGGAGATTCACATCCTCAAGTTAGGATGACTAGATTCACATAACCCAAACACACACAAAACTATTTTAATAATCAAAACTGAGCACCCATTTTAAAACTTAAATGAAGATGCCCACTGGCTGGATGTGGTCATTGGCTACCACACAGGACAGCATAGGTCTAGAAAGTCTGTGGCATCTGTTAGGACATGTAGATCCTCCTGTGACTGCTTACTAAACCCCTGCCCTTGGATCTTCACTAAAGGGATCATTTCATGATTAAGACACACACACATCTGTTTATGGGTAATCATAGGATTTCAGAGCCTGAAAAGGCACACTATATCACCCTGTTATCTCAGAGGAGTGGATAAGACTGCTGTGAGGTCACTTAGTAAGGGCCAAGACTTTGCTAGGACATCAAGCTGTCTTACTCAGTGATGCAAGTGAATCCTCAAGAGCAAATGGTCTTGGTTTAAAAGTCTACTTCTATTAAAGAGCTTTGCCAACATATGTCAATGTTCATAATATCCATTTATTCAGGTTTCATTTAGACTTGTGAATATTTTCTTCATATTCTTGTAGTTGCTTATCTCCATGATTACTTTCCAAATTATAGGAAAATGACTATCTTCTCCTAAATTCATTTTACTTCTATTTTCCTTAGTGTTTTAGAGTAGGAATCTGTTTAATGATGACATTTGACTCTTTCCATGTGTCCTGGTTTTTGATCATGTTAGGACAAGAACTTCTGCCTCATTTCTCTGCCCCATCTCACCCCTGAGTTTGTCCTCATCCAGAACTTCGTGAAGATCGTCCCCTACAACAACTGCACCCTTGAACATGATCTCTATGTCTTCCATCGGGCTGGATTGCTGAAGTAAGTGGACACATATTTGGCCAAAGGACAATCCAAAAAATTAAAATGAGAAAGGAAGCAGGAACTCCCTGCTATGTAAATTTAATGACTTATTTTAAAGATTATCTTTTATTAGCAGAGGACTAATAAAATGATTGTAATTAATACTTTTAAGGAAAGAGTAATTACTGAGAAGAGACTTGTCCTGTCAGATGTTAAAACATAGTATAGGTCTACAGTAATAAAAACAATGCCGCATAGATGGATTCTATAGTTGGGACAAAATGTACAAGAACAAATCCAACCATGGACCCAACACACAGTAAGAATTTAGTGTATAAATGTGTGATAAAGTATCTGTACCAACAGTGGGAAAATGAAAGATTAGTCTGCAGATGTTTGGACAAAATTAAGATGGAAATATATATTTTTTAATATTCTAAGGTAAAATAGATTTCTTCAGTAACTGAAGAGTTAAGCAAATAATGAAAACATTAAAAAAATTAGAAAATTTTTCCTCAGGGCTAAGATCTATGCCAGGATCTTGAAATATAATGGATCTTGAAAAATACCTAGATGTGGTTCCTGCCTTTTCAAGACTTATATAAGCTACAGCTGTGAGGGGCATAACTCAATGAAGTTTGTTTGTTTGTTTACTATAGCAAGTTTTGTGAATCATCCTAATTTAACTAAAATGCAGTTGACTAACAAAGATATATTTTTAAGCTGGCAAAGAGAACTCTGGCCACATTTCAGCCCATGGAAAAGGGTATGTAGAGAAATGGATGGAAAGTCCAAGCCTTCTGTTCATATTCTGAGGTCAGGAACTTGGTCAAATGGCTCTACCTTCTGGCTGGGAGATATGTTGCTAGTCAGTTGGGTGTATACAATAAAAACTTCTTTGATTTCGTTATCAAAAGGAGAAAGAGTAAAAGATTATATGGGGCCATTACATCTCCTTTCTATTTTGCATAAGTACCAAAGTTCTAGAAAGGTTCCCAGGATTCCATTTACCTTCTGTGCCTCTGAGAAGCAGGACTAGGGGGATGTGGTGAAGATGATGACTTATTTGCTGTATGTGTATCTGTTCTGTTTGGGTTTTTTACTTCAATTAATAAACCTTAATTTTTTTAGAGAATTTTTTAGGGTCACAGAGAAATTGAGCATAAAATTCAATTTCCACATAACCCTCCCCCAACTTCACACATGGACTTTTTTATACCATTAACATCCAGCACCAGAATGATATACCTGTTATAATTGGAGAACCAACCTTGCAGGTCATTATCAACTCAGGTCCATGTAGAGTTCCCTCTTGGTATTGACCATTCTATGGATTTGGACAAATGTATAATGACATGTATAATCACAGCATTATAATACATATAGAATAGTTTTACTTTCCTAAAAAAAATCTGTTCTCTGCTGATCATCCATTCTTCCCCTCTGGCAACCACTGATCTTTTTACTGTCTCCATAGCTTTGCCTTTTCCAGAATGTCTTGTAGTTGGAATCATGCAGTAAGTATGTAGCCTTGTCGTATCGGCTTCTTTCGCGTAGTAATATGCATTTCAGTTCCCTCTTGGTTTGCCCAGGAATCTGTATTGCTAATAAGCATTCAGCTTGACTTTTATGCACATTACAGATTGAGAAGCACTACAGATGCTTTTGCTTTTACGAATGTCTTATTCAGTAGTAAAGAATTATGATTCTGCCCCTCTTCCAGATGCAGATGTTCTAGAACCATGTAAGCCACACTTAACTTTAAACTTATTATCTGGTAATTTTTTGGCACTGTCAAGTTACTTGGTCACTTGCATACTATATAAATAATCCTTGAGCTAAATTTTATAAGAATATGTGGGCTATAATAGTTTTATTATGTTATATATAATTATATTATATATCATATATATTAATTATATATTATATAGTTTTGTACCTATCAAGTAATGCTTCTTATTTCCCTTACCTGCTTCTTGTTCTCTGTTTTTCCCTTTTCTTATATTTTTCTAAAACCATCTTTTGAAATTTCAAAATTTAGACTAACGGGGAGAATGCTTTCAGCTGGCATTAAGAAAATCCAACTCAAAATGGCTCCCAGCCCAGGGCATTTATCAGCTCACATAGGTGAGAGGTCTGGAGATAGGCAAGGTTTACAGTTTGTATCGCAAGAGCCTTGATTCTTTCCTCTCTTCCACCCTGCCCTCTCCTTTGTCAGCTCCATTCTGGAATTGGCTCTTATCACATTGGCAAAATGGCTGCTGTATGTCTGGGCTGACATCTCTGCGGCATTGTAGGGAAGAGATGCTGGCTGATGCTATGTGCTTTCTTTCCCAGAAGCCTCCTTATTTGTCCAGTAAAACAGCCAACATTGACTGCTTATGTGTTCCAGCTGTATTCCAGGTTCTGATGAAAGAGAAGTGACCCCAAAACGGACAGAAATCCTTGTCCTCATGGGGTCTGTATTCTATCTAGCAAGAGGAGAAAGACATGAATAAAGACATGAAATAGTATGTAAGTGATGAGCACAGGAAGTGGTGCACTTGAGCAAAGGCCTGGGGGAGATACAGAAGGAGCCACAAGGTCAGGGTGAGGGCACAGGTCCTCTCTTTATGCCCCCACTCTTTTTATGCCATAGTTTTAAAAATATATTGTGTTATTCCATTTTTTGCTTCACTTCTCTTGACATTTGGGATGAATTGTTCCTGCTCTTAAGTTTGGTTACTTTAAATTTCATGACCTCATGTTCTGGTCTCCTACCTAATTTCCTCCTCCATCCCTTGGGAAATTATATTTGTGTCTGTCACCTGCCCTCTGGCCATGCTGGTGAACACCGGGACAAACAATTCATTCAATTGCTAGTGATGGCTACCTTTCTGTCAACAAATCCTGCACCCAGGTTTCCTCTCGTTTTATGTAGTGACTCTTGGTCTTTAATATGAGAATACTTCCTAATGTTATGCTAACTTTGAAATTAAGTATGGATAAATTAAATGTTTTCTTTTTTAGCACTTTTACTTTATATAGTAATCTCTAGAATGTTTCCAGACTTAATATAGGGTTTGTGTATGGCTTCAAAGATTGGTTATTCCATTTTTGCTGTTTGCCCAGTCTCTACCTTCCCACTTGCTTTTCCTTCTTCTGTCCTTAGTGGAGGATGCATTTGGATAAATTGGCTGCTCATCTCATCTTGCTGCCCTTCCAAAATATGCTTTTCTGAAATTTGACATTTTTTATTTGGGAGAATATGTTTCAGACTTATTTATCTAACCAATATTTACTGTGCTAGAAATCATTTTCTAATACATAAATACACTGAGTTAGATCATGGAACCAATTGTCAACTCTGCTCAGTAAATAAAATGCCCTTATGTGGTAGGCCTTTGTTTAAATGATTCCTCCCTTTAATGGGTTTGTTTTATTTACTCCTCTGTGAGTAGCTCACTCATGCCTGGTTGCTGTTCTTTCTACAAAGCCACCATCATACCTGGTTCAGGTTATCATGGGGCATGTTTTAGTGATATCAATCTTCTGCTCCTTCTGTTCCTGAGGAGTCTTTTTGAACAGCACCCAGTAGAAACTTTATTTTTTGTTTTGTGGTGGTTGTTGTTTGGTTTTTGTTTTTGTGAGGAGTATTTCTGGCAATTTTGGTTTTGATTTAAAATGAAATGCTAATAACTATAGAATCATTTAATGATTCTATTACATAGTTCACGCTGTTGGAGTTCAAAAAGAATCAGATCACATTTCCATTATTATGTCTTCATTTACCAGCATCAAAAAATTGGCCCATTTTTCTGCAATATGTGTGACTACACACACACAGAAACAACTTGTAGTTGTATAAAAAATTTTACTCATTCAATTTGGGGTTAAAAGTTAAGTGGTGATTTTTTTTTTCCTTCTACTTTCACATATGATTTTCTGTTTCATTCAGTGTGCAGACTGAGTAATTACCATAAATTCTGACTTTTGAGGCCAGGCTAGGGCGTAACACAGGAAAAGATGAAAACATCTTGCCGTGAAGCAGGTGATGAAGGCTGCAAAACTTTTAAAATCTAAGAAGAAACCAGCGGTCAAAGTTGTCATCATTTCTTCATGGAGAGGGGACACTTCTGACAACTTTGGGCATTTGAGTACATCAGAGAAAGAAAGAGGTGACCTGGGGAGGTGAAGGTGACCTGGGGAGGTGAAGGTGATTAGGGGAGATGAAGGTGACCTGGGGAGGTGAAGGTGATCAGGGAAAGTGAAAGTGACAGAGGAGGTGAAGATGACCTGGGGAGGTGAAAGTGACCTAGGAGGTGAAGGTGATCAGGGTAGGGCAAGGTGACCTGGGAGGTGAAGTAACCTGGGAAATGAAGTTGATCTGGAGAGATGAAAGTGACCAGGGGAAGGTGACAGGTTAGAAAACAAGACTCCTTGCTGCATCTGGTGGTGGGAGAAAGCCAGATAGGTAGACAAAGAAAACCACGGCTAATGTCCCTTGCTGAAGCAAGATGACTTAGAACAATGCCTGAACCCTTGAGGAAAGAATGGCTAAGCCAGCCTGCTTACTGAATGCACACTTGCTTCTGGAAGGGTCAGGAAAGGTGATACCCAGAGCAGAGGGAAGTGAGAGTGTTCTCCTTCCAGGTCTCATGCAGTGAGACAGAAAGAAAGGGCCCACTATCATGGGTATAGCAGAAGAAGGGGGATTTAAAAAAATTTATCTGAAGCCTGTAAAGAGATGAAATTAAGGTCACATTTAAATATATCCAATGAGACACCATCTTTGTCAGTCTTTCCAGGCCTAAGTCAAAGTGTAGACAGCAAAGTGGACTTGTGTTTTTGGACTTTTATTTATCAGACTCAAAGTTCATCTTTTAGAAAGTATTAGTACCATTTTATGGACCTTCAATGAATATTCTGAATTGTTAGGATTTATCTGAGAATGGTAAGAAATAAATATAGCTACTTGATTTAACAATAAATTGTGTCCTTTTGGTGTGTACATGACATATATTTTAAAATCACTTGCA